CCTCCTCACATATCTTATCTGTTGCAAGATTACTTTTCATTAGACTCTACACAGAGCAGTAAGTACAGTTCTTCTATTCACCATCCTCATCCTCTTCTCTTCCTACTGTATATCTTATCTGTCACTTTTACCAACAGCGAATCTTAAGGTATCATTTCAACTTTCTTTTTCAGAATTAATGGGTGTACAAGTTCCGTTCATGTTTCTAATGAGAAAGGTAAGAACTCTAGAGTCTACTCTGCCTCAAGTGTACTGGATAATTCACATTCAGAGAATAGTGCTCTGTTTTTAAGAGTATTAAAAGCTGAACGGGGAGTCAGGATGGCGTGGTGGTAAAACGTTCGCCTCTCACCTCTGTGGTCCGATTCCCAGTCACCCCATGTGAGCTGAGTTGGTTGGTTCTCTTTCTGACTCCAAGGGTTTTTCCGGTCCACCGGTTTTTCCTCCCTCCTCTCAAAATCAACTCCAACTAATTCAAACTGGTTAGAGCTGTGCTCCGGGGTCATACATGGATTGTATAGCTGCTGCCAGAGGTGCATTTCATATGCTTACAGTTCGAGCTGCGCCACTGCTGTACTTGCGGTGGTTTTCTTGTTAATCTAATGGATTGGTAAAGAGAGAAGTCGAAACATACGTGAAGATCCTGCGCATTAACCAATAGAGTAATGCCTGTTCCTACGCCTTTGGTAATAGGACGTTTGCACGATGGAGTCATTGACCTCTCATACCAGACTCCCTTGCACACTTTGTTTTGTTCAGTTAATTAGCACCAATTGTCTCACTGTTAATACAAATACGAAAGAAAATTCACAAAGCATCTTGGAAGTGGGAGTCAAATAACGCCATCAAACTGTATCTAATTGTATCATACCTATTTTAATACGAAAATATATTAAAACATCTTGCAGGGTGGTAATGAATCTAAGAATTCCCCTGAGGCCATGCCAGCCATAAACGCTCCAGCCTACCTCAATCGAATGGTGATTAAACACACTATGAAGGATTTTATTGGTCTAGAGAATGCTAATGAAGAGGCCAAGAAAGCCATGATGGATTTTAGTTACCTGTCAGCTATAGGTAACATGGACGAGGCCTTTAAAGCTATCAAACTGATCAAAAGGTAAATGATTGTACTAGCCTAGAGGACCCTCCCATGATCACCTCAATATTGATTAAGAGAAATTTTTTTTCAATAATGAGCAATAATGGCAAAAAGCGCCAAAAACTAGACTTTCGTATGAAAAACCTTTTTTAAACAGTTAGAAACTGATATACTATCATAAAATGCCTGTTTGGAGCGGTATTTTCAATTGTACAAAGATGTTTTGTTGCATTTGTGTTAGAATGTTGCTTTGTCAGGCTTTTTTATAGAAAATATATGGGAAATAAGCAAATGAAGGCCTAAACCTCATTTTCGAATAAAATTTTTGCTTTGGGTTAACACTTTGATTCTACTTTCATCGGTCATCTCCACTTCCAAACAAGTTAAACTTTCTGGATAACAAGATTTTAGCCTTGTATAACAGCCTTTCTTCAAGAAATAGTTTTTGGCGCTCACCGCTGGAATACGAAAAGAATTCTCTCTTAATTATCAATTATCAATAATGATCATGTAACCAATACTCCAGTTTCGAGTTCTCTGTTGCTCAGGGTTAGTCTCGATTTTGTATAGAATATTCATGTGTACCAGTGAAGGTCCATGGGATTTCAAAGTTTTTTGTAATGTTGAGGTGTGCTTTCTTTACTTTACCGTTGGTATTTGTGAATATTTAGACATCGATATGAGGCTAATCCTGTGTAAATGAGTCTGTATTCAAGAAACACAGCGAACTAAATGGACTATATTTTCACTAATTCATATCTGCTTTTGCTGACTAACCTACAAGCATTTCTAATGATAAAAAGGTAAATTTTACACCGTGAAAAGATGAAAACACTTGCTGATTTTTCGAACGCTAGTCCTTCGTCGGAGTAAAAGAGTAAGTAAGGTTTTTCGTCTTTTCACGGTGTATAATTTACCTTTTTATCATTACAGTTTCATTAGAAACAACGACGCAGCTCACAACTAGTTTTTAGCTAGTTATCTCTTCTTACAAGCATCTCTAGTGTACCAATAAGCATTTTTTGTGTAGGTCCCTATTAATTGCTGGGTTACACTTGACGTTATTTTGTCTTTGCAGAATCATGATTCATTAGCTGAATCGCAATTTTCTAATAGCAATCTTTCTGGCTGATAGCAAATGTTGCTCAGTGTATGCATGACCGCTTAAGATCCATGCAGCCTTTGTCAACCTAAATTGTGGGAATTGTGGGTGCATTCAACTGTTTTTCATAAGAGTGCTCGATTTGTATAATTCAGAATCTTTCAAGTACCTGTCGAAGAGATATCCTAAATAACCGCACTATAGAGGCTTTGTCTGTCATGGCTGCTAACACGTGACAGTGTAAAGCCTCTATTTGCCATTATTTAACTATACTTAATTATTTCAATGCTTTAGTGAGTCAGTATGGGAGAACATGGCCCGAATGTGTGTAAAGACCAAGCGTCTGGATGTAGCTACTGTGTGTCTAGGGAACATGGCTAATGCACGTGCTGCCAAGTCTTTGAGAGAGAGTATGCAGGAACCTGAACTAGATGCCAGAGTAGCAATGCTTGCACTACAGCTGGGAATGTTGGTATGTTTACTGATCATATGTATTATACCTGAGTAAACAGAAAAATGGAACTCGACTTTGATGTCCACCTATTGTAAAGAAATCGGAATCCAAGCTACAAGATTTACTTTGAATTCGGAATCCAAGACATGGTGGTCACAGTTAGTGTTCTCCGAAGCCTTCATTAGTTTCGGTCCAAAATACCAAGAGACCACAATGGCTGCTATTTTGCTTCAATAACAACCCTGATACCAAAGACCGTTTACAAAGACGTTCGCATACCTAAAAATAAATGAAATTAAGGCATCCAGTACCCGACACTGCGACAGTCCCTCTGTATATGGTATCTTTATGGTCTCTTGATAATGCAATGTGGAATCCTAAATACAGCACCTTTATACTGTAGTTTAAAGTATATCAGAATAATGGTGTGGTCCTAGGTTATACACGTACCCCTAGCTTACTAAGTAGTATACTGATCTAAGGATTTGATGTTGATAACCACAGGAGGAAGCTGAAAAGCTGTACATCAACTGCCAAAGATTTGACCTTCTGAACAAAATGTACCAAGCAAGCAACCAGTGGACCAAGGTATAGTTTGGGCAAGCCGTAATAGTGGGTTTCATTTATTTCCTGTAGTGTATTGATTTTGTCGGTATTTTTATTTCTTGGTTGTTTGTTGATAGGCTGTTGAGGTAGCAGAACTGCAGGATCGCATACACCTACGAACCACGTACTATAACTATGCCAAACACCTGGAGGCAATGGGAAATGTATCCGGTGCCATTAACAAGTAAGCTCTCCACACCTCCCCTGTCCTCTTTTCTATTCTTACCTCCTCCCCTACCGTTCAACTATTTCCTCTTCACCCATCTATTCGGCTCTCTTTGATAACACTGTTTATCAATCCTTATTTTTTAGCTATGAGAAATCCGAGACACAACGCTTCGAAGTTCCTCGAATGCTGCTAGACGAACCACAACAGCTGGAAGCTTACATACTCAAGACTAAAGACAAGTAAGGAATTAATTATTTTCAAAACATACATTCCTTTCGGGTGTCTATCTTTATATTAATAGCATATTTAACTTCATCTTCCCGTTGCACAAATCAACAAACGGGGTTACGTCTTATCCAATTAAAAGCGATGGGCGAGGCAACGCACGGTCATAATACTGATATGCTGTACCGTGTCTTGCCTTGCTTTTCCGTGCTGTGTCCAGGTGATAGTTCAAGTCCTGTTGGTCGTATCTCATTCCTGATTTAGAATAGATTCTGAGTGAATCTGAAAAATGTAAGCTAGTCTGACTGAATAAGTAATAACAATAATTGATGTGATCGATCCGACGAATAGGGGTTATTAGAGTTACAATCTCTTTCCTTCAAACAATTGCCCTATTTCATAATGACGTCACGGTTTGTCGGCTAAAATGATAGAAATTTAGGCCAAATTTAAGCTTAATTCTTTTTCGAGATATTTAGCGTAATATTTAGTTGTTCTTGCCTTCACCAGCTCATAAACCAAATTTCATTGTGATTTAAGATGTGTTGTTGTCATTCCATCCCCCTCCAGCAACCATGATCCCTAGCGTTAAAACAATAGATTGTTTTGTTGTGACGTCTTTATGAAATAGGGCAATTGTTGCATTTGGGTCAGTTTCTACATTTCATCGTATTGACCCAAATACCTAGACTTGAAACAATTGTTCGAAGGCAATAGAGTGTATCTCTGTTATCTCCTATTCTTTTATACGTACGAGGTATCTTCCCTGCTTCCAATCTGGCAGTGTTTCGCCCCCTTATCGAATAACGTATGTTGCATTTTTAGGGAGTTACGAAAATGGTGGGCGCAGTACATGGAGAGTACAAGTGAGATGGAAACCGCTCTACAGTTCTACGAGGCGGCTCGTGATAATTTATCGCTCGTTAGGGTCTACTGTTACTGTGGAAACCTAGAAAAGGTCAAGTCCCTATTATTCGTTATTTCATAATTATATACCGTTTGGGTTGCCTGTGGTAATTTGACTTAACACTTAACAGACCGGGTTTGATTTTTCAATTGATTTTCTATACACTTTGATGAATCGGGCAAGAATTCACTATGCAGTATTTATTATTCATTAAATAGTTGTATAACTTTGGTTATTGTATATCAAAGTAAGCGTACGCCTATCTTTGCCTTAACGATGTTGTTTCTCTTCAGGCTGCAGAGATCTGTAACGAGACTGGAGATCGAGCGGCTTGCTATCACTTGGCTAGACAGTTTGAAAACCAGGTAACATACCGGGGGCAGAAAAAAGCAAAGATGGCGGGAATTATATAGAGTTTCATGTGTTTGTCTTTCTTAAAGGTGATCGAAGTGCCGTCTTAATTCATCTTTTGTTGTATTCTCTTGTGGTGAGCTGTTAATATCAATCAATGTCATTACTGTAACAAAGCTATATTTGCCCCCTGGACGCCCCATAATGCCTTGCGATCCAAGATGGCGGCCGTATCGTCGAAGTAGTCCATTCTAATGACATCTATAGAAAGTCACAGCGATCTTAAGATAATCAAAGGCACCGGTCTGTTGTGCGGGAGGTAGTGGTTCAAGCCTCCAAGGCCAGACCAACACTCAGGGTCTTAAAATATCTCAGTAGAAGGTGATGTCTTTGCTCTAATATTATCTGCAAATGGTAAGACCTTTGCCGTGGCTCGGATGACCACCTTATATGGTGGCCCTGTCTCACTTAGAGACTGAAAAGGGCCACAAGTTTATTAGTGCTAACTTGGCAACTGTCACGTGTCACCCTCTCTAAATAAAGGCGATTATAATAATTACGGGAAAGCTTTGTGAAAAACCTTTCATTTCAATCCAACCAGTTGTCATCCTTTTATAACCTCTGATTTCCTACCCACTATAAGTTTCATGTTTTATTTTTTCCTTCTAGGATAATATAAAGGATGCAATCCACTTCTACACGAGAGCACAGTGCTATAGCAACGCTATAAGATTAGCCAAGGTGAGACGATGCTTACTCTAGATGTTTGACTTGGTGTTCTGTATTCTTGGGGTGCAACCACAAGACTCAAAATCCCTCGAGATATATATAACAATGAAACAGTCGATGACGAATGCTTCGTTAACGTCAACCAACATGGCGCCGGGCTATGAAATAACAGGCAACCCAAGAATTTAGCTTTATAGGTATTTTTTAAGCTATTAGAGAGTTTTAGATTGACATTTTTTTCTCCCCGCAAACGGCAAACGTGACCACGTTTTCAAAGTTTTCCTTTATTTTACTTTACCTTTTACAAACCTTCTCACCAGGCGCAAATACTCTTTTGTTTTTCTACTACTTGGACTTTTTTGCGATTCGTTTTCAGTAATTTAAAATGATTTTTTACTGGTCAACTGACGTTTCACGTTTGCCGTGAACGTAAATCTAAAACTCTCTATTGATTCAAGGACTTACATAGGTGGTGGTGCACAGTGGCTTGAAGGGAAGACAAATGTAATTTTTTTCAAATTTAATTTTGTTTTTTCGTTATATTCTAAGTGTAACCTATGAATAAGATAAACAATTGGTTTTCGACATTATAATTATTACAGTTGTACTAATATTTTAATCTTTACTTGTAATAGGATCATGGCTTGGATAATGAGCTGATGAATTTAGCACTGCTTAGTGCACCCAAAGATATGATTGAAGTTGCAAGGTGGGTCAGTGTAAACTCATGTTTTTATTGCCTGTCTGTCTGTCTGTCTGTCTTTCTCTCTGTCTACCTTTCATTCCTCTTAGACGTCTTATAAGGAACTATTATTGCATTTTTCTACGATTTTCCTTTTTGTTTTATACGGTTTTTTGTTCTCTATCATGTACAACAATTGCTTTTTACTTTTTTATTTTTCGTTCATATCGATACTTATTTGAACAATTTCAAACTTAATAATATTTTTGGTGTTTTAATTTGTTTGTTTTTTGTTGTTTTTTCAATTTTCAATTTTTAATTTTCCTTTATTATTTTATTTTATTTCTTATTTTATTTATTCATTTTTTATTTGCCATGAAACTAAAAAACTTGGAAAAGACGTATAATATATAGTGGAATTGTAAATATACTAAGTAAATAACGTCGTTTTGAAAAGAAAGATGAAAAAATATTAGCAGAGCGAGGTTTCGATCCTCGGACCTCTGGGTTATGGGCCCAGCACGCTTCCACTGCGCCACTCTGCTTTACATGTTTTGTGAAGACTTAAATGTGTCCTTTATTCATGTACAATTCTCACGTAAAAACGCGTAGTATTGCATCAGCTTATGAATACATTAATACACCGGAAGTGCGACCATCTGCATTAAATATTTAGCATAATTTCTATGGATTTTTTTAGTGTTATTCCATAAATATTTTTTCCTATCCTTGTTTTATCGACAAACAATGACTATTCTCCCAAAATAATTTTTTTTGCACACAAACTAAGATAAAAGTATACCTTTATTTAGCGCGTAGTTTCGTATCAAAGCCTTTTTTACAAACGAAGCATTCCTCGTAGTCACTGAGTCTGAAGTGAGACAAAATTAAGGATAAAAAACGTATTAGTATTCCGCTCAAGCAGTGATTATCGCCTCATAATCACTGGTCGCTCCACCAATCACAGCGCGCGAAATTCTATATTCACGTCTAAAACTATACTAAAATCCAATATTCATTCTTTGTTCAGTTATTACGAGAGCCAACCCAACATGCAGGACAAGGCAGTAATGCTCTATCATAAGGTAGGTTTTGTGGGTTGTAAATGATTCTGCCTACAGTAACCAGTTTTGAGACTCCCAGAACGTATTTTCGTGTGTGAAATCGTACTGTTATGAGAGAGAAAATTAATGTTTTTACAGACTAAG